TATCAACTTCTATTAAATAAATATCAACTCATTTTATATATCATATAAAATATTATACATTTGAAACCTAATTTATATATAAAAATATGAATATAATAAAAAGGTTATTATAATTATTATATCAATTAATACGAGACTAAATATATAATGAATTTATTTCACTCTTTATATTTATATATCACTTTTTCTTTTTTTCTATATTTATTTATTTATTAAATATTAATATAGAGATATAAAATTTATATATTCTTAAATAATCAATATATTATAATTATAATTAGAAATTCATTTTTTATATAATCATTTAGTTTTAATAGAGCTTTATTAATTATTTTGAATTAATAAAACTTTATTATATTATTTTCTATTAATGATTTGTTATTTCATATATCAATTATCTTTTATATAATTATTTCTATATTATTAAATATATTCTCTAAATATTTTAATAATAGATTTGAATATAAAAATAAAGATAATAAAGAATTCAATATTGAAAATAAAGGAAATAATAACTTGTATATTTGTAATACTAATATCACAAATAGTATTACTATTTAGTATATATTAGATATTATTAATACTAATAATAATATTATTATTATATATTTATCAAAAAAAGTCAAAGTGGAATATATTTCTAAAAAGATTTTTGAGAAAATATAAAAAGACTATATAATATATTATTTATAATCTTAGAATAATATTAAATCCAAAGAATTATATTTATTAATATAATAATATAAATAATAATATATAAATAATAATAATTAAAATAAAGTTATTTTAAATAAATAAAAAGATTTTAATTATATTATTTAGATTATAAAATTGGAAATTGGGAAATAATTATTAAAAAAAAAGAGATATATTTCTATTATAATTGTAAATTCGAATACTAGGTTATTTTAATTAAGATTTATAATAAGTAATTTATTCTGATTTGATTTATATTTATTATTATTAAATTGCTTATAGAAAAGGATATAATCTATTCACTTATATATAGTATAAAAAGAATATAATTACCTTTTTTATATGTATAAAATCAATTATTATAATCAATATAATGTATAAAACTAATTAATTTTATAGAATAATATAATAGTTTTTTTCTTTTTAAATATTAAATAAAAATATTAATATTTAATTATAATAATTTTTATTTATATTTAATTTATATTTATTATAATTATATAAATATTATAATGATTTTTATTAATTATTTAATATAAAAAATATTTTAATGAAAATATATTATAAAATAGGATTAATTAAATAATATATTTTTATACTATATATTTTATAATTTAATATTTATCTTTCAAAAGATTTAATAGAAGCTAATAGAAATTAATAGAAGCTAATAGGAGTTAATAAAAATTAATATAAGCTAATAAAAGAAAATAGAAAATAATAGAAATAATAAATTATTAAAAATCGAATTAATGAATACTAAATCAAATTAATAATAATAAATTTATATTAAATTATTTAAGTTTTATATATATTATTATTAACTATATATCAAATATCTGAGTAGAATTTATTATAATATTTAAAAGTTCTAATAATATATATAAAACTTAAATTAATTCTTTTATATTCTTAATAGGAATATTCTAAAATCTTTCTTTTTTAAGTATATATTATTTATTGAATAATCTTATCTTTATTTTTAATATATTTTCTTTATTTTCCTAAATATCTTTAAATAAATAAATTTCTTTTTCAAAATCTATAAGTTTAAAATCAGTTTTATTATTTTGAGCTAATCTTATAGTCAAAAAAAGAATATTCTTATAATATTATAAATTATATATACTTAGATATAGTGTTTTTCCGAATATATCCTCAATCTTTTTTTTGAAGAATATATTAAGAGAGATTGTATTAAACAAATATAATTAAATATTTTATGTATATTATAAATTGAGTTTCTATAATATGATATATTAATTTAAGCAATTAAGATTTATATATTTTTATATAAAAGCAATAGTTTTATATATTCACAATTTTCTTAATTAATTAATAAAAAATAAAACAAATATTCTATATTATAATTTAGAAGAATATCTTTCTAGTATAAATAATTATTTATAATAAAGTATTTCCTTTTTATATTTAATTTAATTAATTCTTTAGAATAAAAGTATAAATGAGTTTATTATTCACTATATAATATTAATATTATTATATTTAATAATTTTATTAATTATTATATATATTTCTATTTTTTGAAATAAATAATATATAATAATAAAATTGAATTAATTTTTTTATCTTTATCCCAATCTTTTTAAATAAAAGCTTTTTATTGAATTATTTTTATTACCTTAAGGAACTCAATTAGCATTATATATTAAATAATTTCTTTAATAAATTCAATTATTTCTTTTATTTGATATATATTATTAATTATTTTAAAATATTTCTATAATATATAATGAAATAATAATATAATTTTTGTATTAAATATTTGAGATAATAAAGAATATATTTAATAATATTTGAATAAATCTTTTTTTTATTTCTTTTATTTTAAATTTAGAAGGTTGGTTTATATATAATAAAAGCTAATTTTGTTAAAGAAAGGTTTGAAATAAATATAAATTATAATATTCTAAACTATTATAGATATATGAAATCATAAAGTTAATCTAAGTATTTATTCTCTATATTTATAAGAATTAATAAACTCAGATTACTAAACTTTAATAATTTATATATAAACTATTATAAATTGATTATTATATATTAACTTGAGATTAATAATATAATTAAATGATATGGATTCGTTAAGCTCTAAAGGGACTAATTGTATCTTAAAGATATTATTATAAATCTTATAAATTCTATTTATAATTCCCTTATTTACATAAATATCATTGAATTACTAATACTTTATTTTATTAATAGAAATATATTTATATAAAGTATTTTAGAGTATAAATTAGTTTTTTAAAATATTAATTAAATAATATTTTCTAATATATATTTAAATATATTATATATAAAATAAATATTTATTTAACAAAAAAATAAATTTATTATAAAATTAATAGAATTAAAAATATCTTGGAAGTTTATAGAAATTATGGGATTATATATAGCTTGTTTAAATTTTAAAAATAGAAATTCTGAATAGAAAATGAATATAGTTATAATCAAATTCTTTATACTTTTAATATAGTTAAAACTTTTATTTTTTTTAGTTTTTTTGAAATTAAAATTATTATAAATAATTATTATTTATAAATGATTCCTTATATTTTGATTTTCTTTTTAATTATAAAAATTATATATTTTATTTAATTATTATAATAATTATAATTATTATAAATTCTAAAATTAAAAAATATTTGAATATAATAATATTTAATTCTATAATCTATTAAATAGAAATTAAGTATATTATATAAATAATTTAATTAATATTTAAATTAAATATATATTATTATATTAATAATTATATAGATTTGTTAATCTTAGTTTTCTATATTTGATTTATTTAAATAATTAGAATAATAAAAGTATTTATTAATAATAAAAATTATAAGAATAAAAGATTAAATTAAAGCTTTTTTTTTTATTAATTAATTAATATTAAAGAGATTGATATTATAAAATTCATTTAAAGAGATATTTGTATTGAAAGTTTAAAGTTTTGATTTAATAAGAAAAGTAATGAATTCTTATTTTAATATATTTTTAAAATATTCCATAAAAATATTCTTATATATTATATTTTCAATAGATATATGATTTAAAGTCTTTTTGAATTTTAATTATTATACTTTAGAAATATCATTAATTTTATTATATATATTATTAAAAGCCTAATTTATTATAAATTTATTAAATGATATTCCCTTTTAATTTATTATATTTAAAATATATTGAAATTTGAATTAAGATATTCTATTAATAGAAATATTAAAAGTTTTAGGCTTAAAAACAATAATTAAAGATTCAGATAATAAATTAAATAATTATAATAGTAATAAACTAAATAATGATAATACATTAAATAAGCTTATTAAAATATCAATTATTAGAATATTAATTATTTTGATTATTATAAAAAAAGATATAGACACTTATAAATTAATAGAAAATAATAGGAATTAATAAAAATTAAAAAGAGTTAAAAGAAATTAGTAGAGATTATTAAAAAGAAATAGGAGAAAATAGAAATTAATAGAAATTGATAGAAATTAATAGAAGATATTTATTTCGAAATTTATTATAGCTTTTTCTATTATATTTTAATAATAATAATTCAAATATTATTAATAATATTTAAATTCAATTAATTAATATATTATTATTATATAATTTCATAAAATACTAGAAAATTAGGGTTTTCGAATTATATATTTACTTTTTAAATAAATTGGATTTAAAGAGTATAAGTATACCTTCGAAATTCTTTTATTAAAGGTTTCTAAATTCTTATCAAAAATATAACCAAATATTCTCAAACTCTTAAAGAAATAAATATTCCCCCCGATCTCTGATTAGCCGAAAAAAATTCGATTATTAATAAGCCACAACACCACCATGAAAAGGATCAAGATATTATTTAGAATTCTAATTAAAAACGTTTTATCGACGAAGAGATTCTGAATATTGAGATAAGTTATGAACAAAGAAATGGCAAGTATCTGGGCGCCTAAGTCACGTGTTTATTGTGACTGTAGGTTGACTCAAACTTGAATCAGTGGCTAGCTTACTCTTACTTGTTGGGAAAATCATATGATTTGATATCACTAAAGTTGTTCTTTGTGTCAATGGCTTGGAGATCTTGATGCGACTTCATGGTCTTAGAGGTTGTTTACAGAAACGATCGGTTTAGACTCTAATTTTTCCACTCTGTATACATAAATCACATAAAGGTTTTTGAAAAGAATATTTGGTATAGCTTATTCAGACGTACACAAAGATGACTACCACTGACCTCAAATAATCATCATTGTGAGCAATTCGTCAAAAAGCTAGAAGTATTGCCTCGCAGGTCTAGGTAGCGCCACCATCTTGTGTTTTCCGGAATTCCTGGCCCCTTGGTCAACACTGGAAGTGGTCCCAACTAAGTCATCTCTTCCATTTATTTTCTTCATGACCCCTACAGCAAATTCTCCATGTTCTGACATAAACTCCACAAACTCTCCTCTATCAAGTAAAACATTGATGTATGTCGCAGCAGTTTTGACCAGAGCTCTCCTGAGTAGCACGTCAGACCCAGGAGTGTTTTCCCAAAGGAACTCTGCACTAGCAGTAAACTCTGGAGTATTCCAATGGTCTCTCAAGCTTTTTGTAAACTTCTCATGTGCTAGGCTTTTGAGAGCCGGGATCGTGTATTTATCGGCGATGATATATACTTTGGCATTGAAGAGTAATGATGATGGTTTCGTAAGGGGAGCAACTTGAGGAACCATCTGTCCAAATCCTCCAAAAGCCTGTCGCCTTATCTCATGTCGTTGTCCAAATATGATTGCTTCTGTCACCTGTTTGGGAGGACTCGACGGCGGTTCAACCTGCGAATCATCATCCGAATCTTCACTTCCCAAGGCTACCTGATCATCATAATTTCCACAGTACAAATAATTAATCATCGCTTCCACGACCGGCAGCTCTTCGTCACTCATATGGTATTCGCCTTTTGCAGCTTCTTCCTAGAGTTTGGTGAGAAAATGCACATCATCTTGAGCTGGACTGTCACACACCCAACGATCATCATCCATAGCCGCAGCAATCACCGGTGATCGGATGCAAACTACCGCGCGATGAACATCAAACACTTTCTCTTCGCAACGGATTTTCATATCTGCATATTTACCGGTGTCGTACAGAGCTCGAAGCGCGTCGAGAGCGTCCGACGTATTTGTAGGTTGGCTTTCCGTAAGGGGCATTTCTAAATGAGATGGAAAGTTTTGGAATACAGCGATTTTGACGAAAAATCAATCTCAAAGATCACTAACACCTTCAACAAGTCATTGCGGGGTATCACTTCAGTTATATCTCCGCTGAGGCTGGGGTTGTACCAAATCCTACCTCGAAAGATCCGCAGACAGCCTTGCTTTGCAGAAACTTGGATGTCCAATACAGCCACATCACCAATAGATTGCTTCTTCGTCTGAAATCGCACACTTTTAGATAGATAAGAACGAATTCTCGATAACCTATCAATTGATCCAATACGCGTTATCGACGCGTTATTATACATCATCGACGCGTCTCATCAAATCGAAATTGATGAGCTTCGGGATTTTGATCGTTGGCTGAGAACAAGCTTACGGTGCTCTAAATACCCCTCTATTACGTGACTCCCGCAAGAGTACCTACCACTCTGCGAAACTCAGCAATCTATACAACATAACAAAACAGCATCCAATATCCCTCTTTATATCTCCAATCTCTCTCGAATCTTCAAACATCATCCCCGTCTCGCGGAAACATTTCCGTCCCCACAAACCCCTCTCGACCCACCATCCCTCAGCAGAACCCACCACGTACATATGCACACCACAGCCCCACCAACTACTCAGCTCAGCATCGCTCTGATACCCTCGGGTCGCACAAGCGCGCATTGCTATCCATGTTGAGCCCAGCTTCACTGCTTGGAAGAATTCGATTGCACATTGCTTTTTGTATGCGTCAGCTGAAGCCGCAAATATCCGTTCTGTTATCAATTGGTGCGAGGCATTCATAGTAGTAGTCATTGGTAGCTTGGTAGTTCGAACCTTTCCACAAGTTCTTTGATATATAAAAGCAGTCCGGCCAAGTACTTTTTTGATTCTCTTTTCCTTTCTATTTTTTATAAATTGGAATCATAAAATTGAAATCGATCGACTAATTTGTAACATAACATCCATCTCATATCTCAAAATCCTCAAACCTCACTCATTCTATACACAGCAAACATGGCAGGCATAATCCGCATAACCATGTTCAAAGTACCCTCCCAAGCATCCCGGGACACCATGCTCAAGAACTACGAGACCTTATCTAAAAAGGCCGTTAAGGTAATCAGCCTTCTTCGTTCTCTCCCCCTCGTACCTAACTAACACTCGCTTTTAGGAATCAGCCCCCTACATCGTCTCCCTACAAGCTGGCGAAACTCAAGCCAACGATCCCCGCACCCAAGGCTTCTCCGTGGTCGCAAAGACTGAGTTTAAGAATCTGGAGGATATGAAATATTACGAGGATTCCTGTGAAGCACATAGATGGTTCAAAAGCGAGGCAAAGACTTTGGGGGTTGAGGGGATGTGCTGTGTGTACTATGAGCCAAGTGTTGTTGCTTAAGTGGTGCTCTTGGAGGGGGAACGGAAGTGAAGAATCGTGATTATACAGGGTTCTGTGAGATAAAAACAGGCACAAAAAGTGAAGGTTATGATCCACGGCCGTCCCAATAGAAGAAAGATCGATTTAGATAGTTCATTGCACAATCATGATCCACATAAAGTCAGCAAGTTCATGACAGGCTCTATAGTTTGAATGGTGGAAATTGACGCAATTAGTAATGGGTACTGTGGGCTTAGTGGTCACAATCATTTTGGCAGCAGGCCAAATGGTCTCCACTGGTGCTTACGATGCAAGGTGTTTCAAAATGCCTTTGTTCGCAAACAAAAGAGTGCAATATGAACAATTTATTCACCGAATCTTTATCAGAGTTTTGCTCCGCTAGCTTTATTGGCCCTGCAGACCTCAGCGAACTTTCTTGGCGGATTGAATTGTAGCCAAAGGCAAGAAGAAAGCTCCTACTTAAGATGTTTTCCAAAGAACTCAATGAGCGTCTTATATCCTCTCTCATACTCTCTCTTGACTCTCTCGTCCTCAAGATCCGAGCGTGCAGCCATCCATCTATTCCCACAAATATCAGCACATAGAAATTGCACATAGAGTGGAAGTAACATACCCATGAATTTGATCCTTGAAAGTCTCAACATGCTTTTCGCCAGTGAGATTTGCCTCAAACTTCTTCACCTCCTCCGCATCTTCATCTTTTGATGCTAACAGAATAGTAGGAATCTTGATGTTGCTTGCATCGTTGGAATCAACCATAGCGGGGTGGCACTCGGCAGCTACCACGAAAGGGTTGGAAGAGGCAGAAGTAGTAAGGGAGACAATTTTACCGCCCCAGCAGAACTATTTTAAACACACGTTAGCTACAAAGCTTCAATCCACAGACCTTCAACCTCATCCTAAGTCACAGAACTCTTTGATCAAAGAATCACTCACCCCGAGGACAGCCCACTTCTCAATTAACGAATACTTCTCACCCATAGCCTTCACTAAATCCGGAACTCTTCCAGCAGCCTTTGGTGGAGCTCCCGTCGTCTGGAAGAAATTGCCTAACTTCTGTTGTTTCTCTTCATTGTCAGGTGGATACCAGCTGAGATCAGCTGGGTTTCCCTCAAAGAGATCTGGCATGAAAACGAGGTATTTGTTATGTTCATCGGCATTGGCGAGGATATCGGCGCCTTGAATGGTTTGGGGATAGTAGCCGAAAATATCATAGATAATAAATATGGCCTTTGTTGCATCCGCTGGGCCAGTAACGTCTGGAACGGGGTCGTATTAGCTAGAGCTGAAAGATGGGTATGAAATGGAGCATGGTGTCGAGGCAAGGAAAGATTTGTAGCCAAGATTGTTTGACTGATATACTAGCAGATTGCTTTTGATATTCAATTGAGACCGAACACTGACAAGTCTTTAAACCACCAATAGTCTCATATTTTCCTTTTTGTTCATATCCCTTTGATACAATAGGTGGGATATTGCAGCAAGCTGCGCTGTGTCCATGTTGAGCTTGCATTGTGATTATATTCGTAGGATTTGGGTTTTGATGTAATGAAGCTTCTTTTGAAATTGTTGGTCAGTGTAAAGAGATGAACGAGGAGGAATGAAAGCATGCATAGGTGGGATATTTCTATGCAATGCGGGGCAACAGCGACAGTGACGTCGACAACTTCCAATGCCGTTATCTATCTGCTATCTACACGTGATGTGGCTCATTGTCCATTTAAAGGAGAAACTATCACGATGGACGTATCACAATGATATATTGGTAGAATGTTCATCATTAATAAATAAAACATTCGTTTTATTCAGTAATCAGGTATCTCTAGGTACAACCGGAAAGTAATCTGTATGTGAATCCCAAAACACAATATTAAGAAAGTCCAGTAGTCCTTTCATAGAAAGTGCAATAACCGCAAATACAGAAAAGGATTCAATTCCTGCCAGAACTCCGAGAATATGAAACCGAGAAGAGCAACACTGTAATCAAAACATGCATTGCCGTGATATAAGAAAACTCCCGACTCGAAAATTGTGACCCTTCAGAGTGAAGAACCCAGCTGTAAATATTTCAAACCCCTATCGATATTTGGAGATAGGAAAAGTCTGTCTTTTCTCCCCCGAGTAATTGTTATGTAGACGTCGGAAAATCTTTGCTTCAGGAAATATGACAACCAGAATATTTAGAAAATCGAGTTAACAATATTTCCACCGATCGTAGCTCCAGCACCGAAGATAGCGGCATTGCCCAATTTCTTACCAAACTTCTTACCCATCTCTCCACCCTTACTAGGCTTTTCTTCGGTAGGTTGTTCTGCGACAGCCATTGGGGGAACGGAGCTGTTGTAAGGGTTGCTTGGTCCGGGTGGTACGGTTCCTTGTTGTTGAGAGCCATATGGGTTGTATGTGGCCTTCTCGTTGCCATAATAGGCGCCCTGGGGTGACTGGTTTTGATGTTTCTGGACGTAGTTCGATGGGAACACACCCTCTCTTCCAGTCTTTTCATTCTTGCCCATCCACCAATCATCATTCATGTATTCGTAGATGATGATAGTATCACCAACATCGAAGTTGCAGTCTTCAGGTTCGGTATAACGGTAAAGAGCGGTGGCGCGTCCGACTTCTGGTCGAGCAGGTGGTTGGGTCGGTCCGCGGGGAGGAAGGTTTGGAGTAGATTGGTATGATGGTGGAGGGTTATCGTTATTGACATTCAATTGTGAGAATGCGGCGACTGGAGCAACTGGTGCTGGAATGGCGACGTTGGCACGAGGCGCAGGAGAAGAGGTCGAGTTCAAGCTGTTTTCCGAGGGAAGTTTGCTAACCATAAGCTCATACACCTCGTAAGTAATGAGTTCATCTTCAAGAAGGTTTTCAAGCTCCTGCAAATTATTAGCATAATCGGAAGACCGAGAGAAAGAGTTCAACTCACATTCTTGATATTGCGAATAGATCTATTAGCCTTCATGATCTGTTGGCGACGTTCTGGGGGCATTGAAGTAGACATGATTCTGTTCTCGTAATATGCGTACTCCTTCTCAATACAATCGGTACAATCTTGATGCTCTGTACAATTTCGATTTTTACTTTGCGCAACGAGTTGTTCAATCTTTTGTCGTTCGTATTCGAAGAAGTAAAGCTCACCACGTTGTGGCTTAGACGGCTTATTTCGGGAAGAGCGCTTGGCAATTGTAGGGGATGATGGGATTCGGTAAATCTTCGAATTTAGTGGGAACTGCGTTTCATTTGTAAGGGACTCGGGAGTAAAACCACTATTTTCTTTACTGATAATTCCTGAATTAAAACAATCTACCACCTCTGATTCAGTAACGCTCGGTGTTCGCAAACTCAAAATTCGCGAATGTGGTAATGATGTTGTAATACCCAATTTTGGGCCTCGGGTTGGTGTATACGTGAGCTCAGACGAAGATGTTATATTCATTGGTGCCGTATAACTTCTCATTCCAAAGGGACCAGAAGTTGTAATTGGCTTGGCAGCAGAGACTTGACGACTACTCTTTGGTGTATTGAGGCGGATAGAGCTCTTTCTGCTCCCCGTTGGACTTGGACAAAGAGCTTCGGATTGCTCGCGTAGGGTTCTTTCGAGAAGACTACCAAGGAAAGCGTCGCTATCGACAATAGCTTCTGGGTCTTGATTTTCAGGAAAGCTGGAGTTTCGAGTGAAGGATTCGCGAATTACTAAAGGTGATCGTGCAACTACAGGCGGATCTGTAGAACGAAACAAAAATCAATCTTCTGTCAAGGTAGGTTCTCGCGATAAGCGATGTAGGTCAATATATGACGAGGAAAAGAAGGCACCTACCTTTTGGAAGCGGCGAAATGGGCTTCTGAGTACCCGGCGCTCGAGGAGATTGACTTCTGGATATTTCAGGAGGTACAACTACCTGTGGCGCAATTTTGTTACCAAGATGATCATAGAAATTGATTCCAAGTCCACCAAAACCTCCAAGTTCACCGGCGGCTTCTTCTCCAACAGTGTCCATCTTCTTCGTAGTCAGCTCCAGCTGTGCGCTGGCACGTCTTTTGTGTGTTTCAAGAGGGGGCTTCATTCCTTTAGAATTAACCGTTGAAGTGCGTCTCAAATCATCTGAAAAATTTCCGCCTGGCAATTTCAAATCGGTTGCTTGAGATTCACCAGACACTCTTTTCCAAGCTCTGGTAAGTTTGTTTTCCTTGGCTGGCTCAGAAGACGAGATGACGGGGGACACCATGATGGGAAACATCTTGGGTGGTTGTTGTTTTGTAGAAGAAAAGTTGAGGAAAAGGATTTGCGTAGGAGATACATAGGTACGTTCCTTTAGTTTTCTTTCCATCGATTCACTAGCGGAAATTGTTTTTCTCTGGCCCTCGAGAGTGTTCGGACGACATAGCAAAGGATGAGGCCTCAAGGCATCAAATATATCAAAGGTGAATTCACAAATTACAGTACCTAGTATTCACTTAATTAATCATCAACTACCTGGTGGTCATTTTGATGGTATTTTTAAGATAATGTTATCATCATTCATAAGAAGTCTTTATGAATTCTGAGTGAAGTGAAGGCAAAGTCATCGAAGGGAAGGCATTTTGAGCAATGGAATTTTGCGAGTAAGTTTGAGTTTTTCTTCCGTCATTCTACATAATCAAATCGGGCTTTGTTTGATATTGTATTGAGTAGTTGAGCTCTATTACAGAACCTCTCATCTTTCGAATCAAGGAGCTGTATGAATCCATCCAGTCTTTCTACGACCTCAAGATCTCAGCATAGCACATACCAGAGACTATGTATTATACACCACTTAGGCCAATGAGATGCTGTACCATTAAAGCTTAAACGAGATACGGAAAACAAGTATGTCACGTCCAGTCTTGCACAGAGCTTATACCCTCACCATCACATATAACGTGAGTTTCTACTGTGAGACAGCCCTGCTGAGCTGATCCTATTACTCAAGTCTCTCACCCCATCACACAATATGTAGGTACCTTGTCAATGTGTCGTGTGCTTGAAGAGTCAAACTATGAACTAGCCTCGACTTACTTAAGCTAAGCACCTTTATAGGCTTCTTGGTGTCATCATTACGATCAATCATAGATATAAAGTCACATACTGGGAATTGTGCCGCGCGTATCCGTTAGCGCGGCGTGTATCGTGGTGTAAAGAGAAAATGAGCCTCATAAGGCACGCGCATGGCTTTCAAGATGACGTGAGGTAGTGTAGTTACTATTCATCAATTTGCAACGGTTTTCTTGACTTTACGAGAGGATTTTCTTTCTCAATGTATGGGAAAGCAGGGTGGCAGACAAGTTTTGAGCTGACAGCATTGTTTTCGCGTATTCATTTTATCTCTTTTCTTTTTGGAATGGCGTCATTTGCACTGCTCTGTACTTCTGTAAGCTCTCAGTTGAGTCGAATTGTTGTTCTTAATCTGGATATGGATGGTGTGCAGAATAAAAACAGTATAACTCAAATCTCATCTATTTTTCTGTTTGCACAAAATGCGAATAGCTCTATAAATCAAAACCTGTTTCCGCCCACTGAATCTGAATAAAGGAAAAGACAATGGAAAAATTGCGGCGTTCCATTTTAATCTGCCTCCAAATAGTTCCACCACCCCTTTTCCCCTTGAGTTTAAAAATTGGAATCTCAATGAACCTGTTCATTTACTTGCTCATCAGTACCTAAAAGATACACAAGTAGTGAGTCTAGTATCCTGAATCAGTTGGAGGAGTCTCCCAATGTCTCAACATATGATCCAGAGCTTCTTGCCACTCATACACAAAGCAAGCGGCGAGCTGAGCCGCCTCCTCGGCTTCTGGGTATCGATCTCCCCACATTTCTAGTTTTGCCGCTTCACTCTCCGCATGTGTCTGTATCATCCCACTAAAATGCGTTGATCAATACATGTTTTCATTTCATCTTACACGAATGATACACGGATTGAACGCCTAGGACTTACTCATTATATATTTTGATCAAAACCAACCAGGCATAATTCCAGCTTCTGTTACTGTTCAGATCGTTACTCACTCTCCATTTGGCATCGTCAAGTAAATCGTTGCTGAAGGGGTAATTTGAAGTCAAATTGCGGAGTTCGTTGAGTAAATTGTGTGATGTGACATAGTCAGTCCAAGCTGCGGTCAAGGGAGCTCGAATGAGAATTAATTCCTCTTCATTAGAAGCTGCTGCTATTCGTTCAATTCTGCACAGCTCCGTGAGCGTATTTACACTGTGCGTGTTGAGTGTCTCGATGAGTCGAGCTGTGCTTTCCTGTCAAATGTTAGTCCTGTAGCCTGTGGAAAGCGATGAAAGAGCTGTAAAAAGAGTCTCGGGCCATGTCCATGAGTGCAATAGAGAGTTTGAGGAATCTGATAACAAATAGTGGGTGATAAAAGGGTATCCTTGACTCACCTGGGCTGCTGAAGGTCTTGAGCTTCCAGAGCTTGAGCTTTGACCAACTTGAGAACGTCTAGAGTTTCGGGAAGACATAATCTTGACAACGGCACAGATGTAACTTGAATTTGTAGCGTAAAATATATAGGAACTAGATCTCGAAGGCCCTTAGGTTGTTGATATTGTTAAGAAACAATCGCAAATGGTGGTCAAAAGTTTTGCATCTGCGGGCGTTGAGCAGTTTTGTCAGATTCTGTTCAAATCGCTGAAATTATCGAAAGAAGTGGTTGAAGACATTGTCCCATTTATAGGAAAGATAGGACCTTATATACCCATCTAAACATAGGAGGTTATCTGAAAACGCCGTAGAGTCGACAGAAAGACTCTAGGAGTTCTTCGTGTGCCGTATAAAGTAGGAGAGTCACAGAATTATCCTCGTTCCCAGTAGAAGTTTCAACATATGAGGCTTTTACAGGCAAGTGAGATCGGAGCATAAGTAACGAGAATGTTCCATCGTAGTAAAGAAGATTTAAATAACATTGAATCACACAATAGATCTCAACGCCGCAAGTATGGTCTCGGCACGTAACTCGAGGCACAATTTATCTCCCCATGCATCATGATGCGTCGCAGCTTTGCTATTCACTCCTGAAATCGTGAATGCCAAGCGCATTGTTACAATTCAAGAGGCTCTCTGGACAATGAATCAAACCATAAGAAGGTAAAGGATCCGAGATCTGATTATTGGCAGTCTAGAAGAGTGCGGGAGGGGAGATCCAATCTCTTCAACCTCATTGGCAATTGGACTAATCTTCCACACAGTGTTAGAGTCGACCGATCTTACAGGCGGTCTAGATACTGAAAACCGATAATGTATTTCTTGGCAATCTCTAAAATGATCTAAGATTCTGTGAGAAAATCCTTTTTCTAAGAATGCCTTGATGCCTCGGTTAAGATGTCAGCCGGTCATCATTTCCGATCCCATCTGCGGCACGTACTGAGAATAAGCTCGTTGAGATACATATCTTCCTTCCAAGCTTATGATAACCAATATTCAAAACAATAGGGTTTTGCTTGCGTGTTAATGTGATCCCTCGATCGAAAAGTGTTCCTAGACTGGGGATATTGATTCAAGCAGCAAGCTGAAAAGCATGCGATTTGTTTAGTTTATACCTTTTCTGGCTTTCTGTTTCCTTCCGAATATCGACAAGTTTTCACTCTATATCAATCATCTGTACTATTCTCACAAGATAAGCAAAAGTTACAAATTACTAGTAGGAAACATGAATGGGAAGGCTGTTTTCAAAGGCGAGTTATGATGATGTCCAAATGTCTTTTGTGATTTGGCTTCCATTCATCTAGAAGAGATCGGATATTTGACTCCACAGAACTAGATTACTTGAGATAATGACATCTCGAAGTTCTAGTGGAGCTGATACAATGTAGTTTCGTAGTTTCAAATGGGCCTGGACAATTGCAATTCACTCATTTCAAATGAACAAAAATTGAAGTTCATGACCTCAATGAGTCAAGAGAAAAAAAGCTTATTTCAGAATGTTCAGTAAACTTTATTTCTTTGTATAAGCCAGGTTGAAAAAAGCTGAATCTGTCTTAAATGACGATGTTAAAGTCACCAGACTGTTGCCTCGAGATCTCCTTGTCAAAGGGAATATTCAATCGAATTGAACTTGCTACAATTTTTGTTCCCGTTACAAGGAATAAGCATCTATATACCTAAGCCGGAGTCTAGATTGAAAGTAATGAATCTCGAAAATAGCATCAGCCCTGGCATATTTGGACAAGCCATTTGAGGATGATCCAAATTTACTAATCAAATTCGGCGCCCTGGTTGATTCATATAGTTTTTTAAGAAGAAGATTTATAATACTACCGTTCTTCGTAGGACCAGTTGTCCTTCTCTTGCTATTTGCCTCGATGGCATTCGTATCTCTCGAACTCTTGAGTGAGCGCCGAACTTTACGGCTCTGTGATTAGGCATTTTTGATACTCTGAGTTACCCTGAGGGAGGTTCAAATGGGGGGGGGGCATATCACTATGCAATGACTGCTCTCTATTCAAGCTGACATTACTTCCTGGGACCCTTGGAAACAATCTCTGCATATATGATGAAGTTCATGAATTCATTTATGATTGCGCAATGGCACTTGGAAGATTTCACTGCCTAAGGGATGTGATAAGAGCCTACGGCCACAAAGCCATTTAGTGAGGGTCACAAAGAGGGTAATTTCGCAGGACACATTGCTTTAAGAATAAAAATGTCTATCATTTGAGAGACACTGAGCCAAGTCGAACATTACTTGTATTAACACTCATTACAGCATTTTTGTGTCGAATAACGCAGAGCACTCTCATCAAACCTTGTCTACTCTCTTTCTAATTCTCAAACATCGCTTCCAGCTGTGTCTGCATATCACAAAAGATATTTATGGCCTGTGCAGAAAATCGAAAATCAGTATTCTACGTCATGGTCGACTTGAAGAAATCTTGTCAACAAAAACTCACCTGACTCAATTTTCTTTCCGCCTCTCCTCTTCCGCTCCTCGTGAAACTTATCCTCCACAAGCTCTCATCATTATCAAACTCTAACGCAGTAGGTTGAGATTCCTTCTGCTCATTTCCATCAAACAGAGATTTCACCTTATAACCCTCCACGGCTGTAGCCGCTAAATCTCTTAACAGAGCCGGGGCAATCGTAATATGATCTACGCCCGCTAGCGTCATAATCTCATCGATATTCGTCAGACTAGCTGGTAGAACTTTTGTTCGGAGATTATTCTTGCTGTAGTATTGTTGAATTTCGAAGCAAAGCTGATGCGCTTTATTGGTATCCGTGAACCTTATTCTGGTTAGTCTACTTAAATGCAATCATGATGATCCGATTTAGTAAGAAAAGGATGAGGACATACCCCGCATCGAAATGAACTTTCAATTCATTAACATAAGGTGCAACATAAGTGCACTGGACCTCTCCAGCCAAAGCCGCCTGTTCAATACTAAAAAGTGTAGTGGCTAATGTTCTTATTCCTTCTCTTTCTAAAAACTTGCATGCTTGGAGTCCTTCCCACGTGCTTGGTATCTTCAGACAAATTCGATTAGTGTCAAAGTGTGGATCGAGATTTCTAAAGATGGAGATTATCCCTGAATATCTTAGTCTCGGTCAATGTCTCAAGGAAAGTCAAGAAATACTTCGTGAATCTCGAATCATTTCGTCGGTGCCATACGAATGATAAGGATTCGTCTGAACGTGAACAAACCCCGTGACTACACTCGCGATTGCAAGTTGTAATTTGACCATCTAGGCAATTAAATAAGCTCTTCACATTCATCTATACTTCAAGTGGAGTCCACATACCGCAACTTCGACTCCTAGCTCTGAAAACTTCACATCTTGGTAATCTTGCGTTCCCAGTAGTTTTTGCGTAGTTTCCGCTGTCTCTTGGACAAGTTTCTTGTTTTCCGGTTTCTGGAGCTCGAAATATGCAATTGCTTGGTTGGAAGTGCAATCTGTGAAAGGACCAAGAGATTTCGCAACTATGATATATCGTCAGAAAAAGTTGTGTATACCGATTCATACAAGCGATCCCACCCTCAAATTCCATAGTATCACAATCGACCACCGTCCTCGACCGCAACAGTTCCAGCAAGCTTCGGGGCGCCATCGTTTCGTTGTTTGAAGATACAAAATCTTTTCACGATCTTATTGCAATATACTTCAAAAATTTCGAGCAGTTTTGAAAAAATGGTTCAAGTATAAAATGAGAGGTCGTCTCGGGTATATGCCGGTGTGAAGTGTACAATGCGGGGAAAGATTCGAAGAAGGTTAAGCGAGTGATATGTCGGATTACTTGCTTTGAGATCAGGGGTGCCCCACTATTTGTGCTACACAAACTCTTGGGGAAGTCAAATCGGTGTGATACCTCTAGTGAACTGTGCAATGATCAACAACGTTGTGGCTTCTTATGCCTTGATTAGTTGAACTTCAAATATTTAGGGTTGAATTTGCGAATGAACCCTAAAAATCTACTTGTTACACTTCGACCCGCTCTTAAGCGTCCATCCTTGATATCAAGCAAAAAGATCCCCCATCGTCCACTTTATGTCCTACTCCCTTCCTAAAATTTTCACTCCAATCCTCCGCCGGTAACCTCTCCGATCGACAAACTAAAACTGCTCATCATCCACCCTCTCCCCAATATGATGGTCCCTGAACCATCCCCGGGTATTGACTCAAACATTTCCCGTAATGTTGCCCATATGCGCATTTACAGCTTTAGAAAAGCCTCTCATCTACATCAATAACCGCCTGTATAATATCGATGAGATATTGATTCAACTTTCTGCGTATGGCTTTATATTCTTCACCTTGTAGCGTCTTGTTCTCCAATATCTCTTTAAATTCGTTGCTTTCCCCTCCTATGCGATTGTGATGACTGAGAAACCCATCTGTAATATCACTGTTTCGAGCTTCGTTGACTAACTTACCAAAGACTTTGTATACATAGTTGACATCATCAGCAAGAGAAATGACTAGAACTTTGAAACGAAAGTTCATAACACCCTCGTTGTCTCTTTGTTCTCCATTCTCCACGGCTTCCACGCTTTCCATAACGATACCGAAAACGCCTAAAATTGTCTCCATCGAAGCATCCACGACTATGGAGATCAAGGTCGCTGTCACGATTTTTGAACGATTTGTGTTTTCCAAATCATGGAGAGGCAAGCCTCCAGAGTTGTTATAGCTAAGTCTATCATCATCTGTCTTCCCACTTCATACACTCAGCGGATAAATTTATCTAATTCATGACACCTCTTCGCCGTCTGCTCACCATCAAGTTCGAATCTGCCATACAAAAGAACCTTTTTAAGATAAAAGAAACTCTTCGAAACCCATCGCCAATGCATGTCGAGTTTAGATTCTTCGAGGAACATCCTCTGGACTGAAATCTCTTCGTCTTTTTCTCCTATTGGTTCCCACACGACTCGCATCCAACCTTATTTGGGTGCAACAGCAAATCTTACTTCGCTTCAACACTCAACATCCATTCAGCCCCTGTGACCACCAAAATTCTCTCAAGACCCTCATCATCAAAAACAACCTCCAACCTCCAAGTTTCCATCTTTTCTCTGCACAAGCTCAAGGCCATGAAGAGATCCACAAATTCCGCCATGTATAAACACCACGAAGTCATTCTCCAAAACAGTGTCAACTATTACATGAAGTTAAGTCCACTTTACAAATTCTCTCTGATGGCTTCCATTCATAATCTCTACAATCAAATCAAATTACAACCACATCTTTCCAAGCAATTCTCATTCCGGAATGGAAGATGGAGAAAACATTTCAAATAATTTATACTGTTTGATCGAATAAAGCATGCCAATTTCTGACCTATTAACCATGGTTGGATACGAGTGGAAAGGAAAAATGCCTTGTCACATCGCGCTGGAAAAGCGTTTTTATGGTCTTCTTAATTGGAGTGGAAGGGGGAGGAACTCCGCGATAGTACGAAGTGATAAGATGGCCTATTCTTTTGTGAGTTTATCGGATGATGATATTAGTGTATTTAATTTGAGATAAAGAATGTGTAATATTTCGATGAGAACATCATAAAGCACGTCAGCACTAAGAATAATATAGTGATGAACAACACTCCCAAGTCCAACCCTAACCTCAATCCAAGCAACCAACCATCCCATCTCATCCCATACCACCTTAAATCCACACTGCCAACTACCAAACGAATCCAAAACACACACATACACACACGTAACAAACCTTTCACCAACCACTACTTAACATCAAATCACCTTCCATCCCAGCAAGCAAGAAAGATACACCTCGATACCTAAGTATCGAAACCCCTCTTAGATATGAATAGAGTTGATGAATAAGTTTTCCAACGAATCAGGGACGACACAATTTATTCTTCGAAACCGTGTATCACTGAAAACGAGACTTATATTTCTTATTTCTTATTATCGGATTTATCTATGTACTTCGTTTTGTGTGCCTATATTGAGATATATATATATACAATCACCCCTCCCTCCCCCTGACCCCCTCACCCCCTCATCCCTTTATTCCCAAACTATCTAATCCTTAAAAGGAGCAAATTTACTTTTCCTCCTCAACGCAACTCCATATCTCATAAACAAAAACGGCACCGGTATCGCCAGAGTAGCGACTCCACCTAGTACACTCATTGCTGGCCCTACACCCATAGCTCTAAACATCGGGCCCGCCGCCAGCGGAAAGCCAGTCGCCAAGATACTTCTCAGAAAGGTATTCGCACTGACCGCACTCGCCGCATACAATGCATAGGTATCAACAAGGAAATTAATGCATTGCTGGAAAATAATATTGAACCCGGCGCCGATAAATACCGAAGCTATAACTGGAAGAATCCAGTGAAAATTTGGCGCAGCCGTCCATCCGAACCAGAAAAGTCCAATTGCGAATAAAATGCCTCCAAGTGCCATGGGGGCAAGGCGAGCTTCGGGTACGGGACGTCCACCTGCTGCGTCCACAATACGCGCGTAGCGAGGTTGATTGCCAAGATTGACTACAACGGCTAGATTGACTCCGACGAAGAGGCCGAGGAAAGGGAGTGAAGCTATGACGGGGGACCAGCCGCGATTATCGGAGAAGACGATCGGGAAGACTTCGAGAGTGAGATAGAGGATGGCGTACACGAAGGAGGCGTAGAAAGCTATGCAGGTAACCATTGGCTCTGTAGTAAGCATTAGGAGGGGTCTCGAGAAGTGCTTCGTGACAATTGTCTTGGCATCGAGTTTGATTTCTTCGTGTGGATGATAATATGCATTATTCCCGGTCTCTTTGCGAAGACGGGCGGCTTTCTTCTTGAGTAGAACGGGAGTATAGACTTCGGGAAGACAAATTACACACAATCCGAACATTGAAAATACCCAAATAGCCTCGAGATATTCTGTCCATCTCCATCCTAAATGTGGATTCACAAGCAAGGCACTTCCGATCAAAGGTCCTAGTGTCGGTCCACCTACGACTGCCACTGCATAGAATGTGACAGCCGTTCCTCGAGCTTTAGGACTCCACATATCTCCCAACGCTGCAGAAACATTCGAAACAGGTGCCGATCCGAATAATCCTCCAAAGAATCTCGTTATAAAAATCGATGCCGCGTTTGTACTTGTAGCCGTTCCAATGGAAAACAACCCCAGACAAAATAGTGGGGGTAGCATACTCCATCTTCTTCCCCAGAGCTCAGATATTGGTGCCCAGCAAAGTGGTCCAAAAGCGAATCCCAATCTATGTTGAAAATGTATCAGTGCCATCATCATTTCCAAAAAGCAAAACAAAACTTACATGTACAAACTAATACTCAATACACTAACTTCCGACCCAACACCAACATACGTTGCGATCGTTTTTCCCGCCGGACTAATGATACTACTCCCCAAACTCGCACTCAAAGCCAACATCCCCAACTGAAACGTTATCCAACTCTTATACAACGTTGACCAATTCCGCGGATTCCCTTGATCATCATCCCCATCCCAATCCACCAATATCCTCTCATCTCGACTCTCGTTCGGACCCGAACTTTTCTCGTGATCAGCGACAGGATTTGTCTGAATCTCGGACTGCGAATGCGACAGGGATCTAGACAATTGCGAACTTGGCCGTCGAGGTGGCGTCTCGACATCTGTCGTTTCTCCATCGCGATCCAGCATTGAAGTGGCGTTTGAATTCCCCATTGTTCTCTCCCCCTTCTCTACATCCCGCACCGATAACTCCCCCTCGATTTCCGTCTCGGCATCGGAATTGAGCATCCTGTACTTTTTTTTTCTTTCTCTACCTCGCTGTTATAACGTTCCTACAATCTCGAGATTCTCTGCAATATCAAAGTTCACAAGATCGCAACCGCCGAAAACCCATCTCAGAAGAAGACGCAAGAACCGGGAAACGCATCTTCGAAATGAAATGAAATGAAATAAACTGCGCAAAACAATCACCGCAGTTACACTTCGACCACTTACCCAAACAATCCAGAAAAAAAAGACTCCACTTACGAAAAGAAACACAAGGGATCCTCTCAATGACGAATATATCCATGTTACCAATCCCAATGAATCAATTCTCCAATCCTCGTACGCACAGAGGAAGAGGAGTGACATCTTGCATGCACCGATTGCACGCACACCCCAACACCCAAGTAGGGTAAAAGATGCATCCCAAACAGGAAAAAGAACGGTTCCCACGGCAAGAAGCTTTACGACTGACTAATCCGATCACAAAGCTAGAAGGTTTTTGCGAAGGAATCTTATCTTATCAGCCTTATACCGCGGATCTGAAGATATTTGGACCAATCAGCGAGATGGCAATTTACCCCGGCCGGGACCGAAAAGATGCGGAACGAAAGACGCGGATCAGAGTAATAAGTTACGGTCGGAAGAATGGGTCCGTGGAGTGTTCAAGACATGTTATGCTGGCGTCTCTTGGAGAATAATAAGAAGCGTGGGAATTTGTCTACACCGAGACACCGTAGACTTGGTCCACTGTAGATACCTACTTTGTACAGAAAAGTTAGCACTAGCCTAGCTGTATATAGTGTAGTTAATATGAAGTGTATCGGCTCGTTCTTTAATGTTAAGACTTTCATACCAAGATCCTCTCAGAGAGCAACTTGATAGATTTATATAACTTTCTTTTTATTGGGTACTTAAATCTTATCACTCATAGCACGTTGACGAAGATACAAACCATATTGTTGCACCAACATACTAATGGGTATAAAAGCTACAATAACGATAATAATAAAGGTAGATGTCTGGTAGTACAAAGGTTATTGTCAAAGTAAAAAGGAAATGTACTCCCGCGGTACGGTATTTGCCGGCACTATTCTTCCTTCCACTCTACCCGCAACACCCACGTCCACAACAACGATCCATCAAAACCCCAATTCTACTGCCTGCCTCATAGAAGCGACAACTTCACACGAGCCGCATCTCACAATCTTTCCTCACACGTAGTCAAATAATCTTAGACGTCCTAGAGTGTAGTAGCACCGCTCATGATCGTTCGGAAGATTCGTTTGCCTTCTCCAAGCTTTTTGATCTGGTCCTCCAAATATGCTCTCTCTTGTCTGGCTTGGATTGGTTCACTAGCAATCGCCTCTACATCTTTGTCAGACATCTTGTTTACAGCAACAGGGTCAAAAATGCGTTCTAAGCCGCGAACAATGTGACGCTCGACTACTTGGGTAGTCACGTTTGCGATGAAAACCTTTTGAAGGACCTAAAGACACATTAGTCGATGTTTGGTAAATGAAATCTGCGTGAAAGGAAACGAACCTTATAGATTGCCATGACACAATCCAAAGCCGCTTCGCATGAAACAACTTCCATATCTTTTTCGGTGCTCTTGAAGAGGCTTTCCTTCAATTTTTGGATCACGGGACCCATCTGCACTCCTTCAGATGTCTCAACACCGGCCGAAGCATCCTGACAACATTTTTCAAGTTCTGCATTCGCTCGTTCTTGCTGACGGTTTTTGATTGTGTCCGTATAATAGTGGTTGTAATTGATTGGATGATTCATGTTGTCTACAATCAAGTTATCCAACTC